GGGAGCGTGGCCATGGCATGGCCTGGAGATGGGTGATCCGCTTGAGCTGCGGTGACTTCTGCAGGGGAGCACTGGGAATGTGGTCAGCGGGACTGGCAGGTCAGGAGGAGCACCACCAGTGTGGAATTTAGTCCAAATTAATCTGTGTTTCATGTTATTCTGTACAAGACCCGAAAGTGATAGCAAACTGGGGCTTAATTTGGTCTTATCTGTCACCAAGCTCTCCCAGATCCTCACGTCTTGGTCAGATTTCTACCGGTACCGTGGGGAACGTGCGTTTTCCCTGAGCTGGTCTCTCCCCTGCCTCAGCACCACTGAGCTGTAAACCTGGAGGCAGCCACTGGGACTGACCCAGGAGGGCCAGTGCTTCGCAGAGCAGGTTCAGGGCTCAGGTGAAAAAAAAAATTAAAAAAGAAAATGAGGCATCAGGCGTGTTCAAGATGGGGCTCAGCTTATCTGCTACCCGGGAAGTGCCCCCAGCTGCTTGGCTGTCTCGGCTGGAGAGCATCCCCCAGGCAGGGGAGAGGCCCCGCAGCGCTGCCAGCACACACAACCAAACCTGCCAAGGAAACAGGTCTCACCCTGGTTTGATAAACGCAATTTAGGTCACCCCCAGGCCAATCTTCTGCTCTGGAGGGAGCCAAGGCACCTGTTCCCCGCACTGCTCCTGCCCTCTGCAGAACGCCCGGAGCAGGAACGTGGGACTGTGGGGATCCCGCAGCCCCCCCCAAGCCAGCCGCACGGCCCCCTCACCTGGGAAGAGCATGGTGGTCAGCAGCTCTGGGGACTCCAGCAAGCTGATGATGGCCCGCTGGAAAGTCTTGCTGCAGCTGGACTGCAAGTGGCTGTAAAATGGTGTGCAGGGTCAGGAGGGTGCAGGGCTTGTGCGTGCCTCGTGGTTGCAGGAGAGTGGCTGTGCACCGGGATCCCTGCCCACGCACAGGGGACAGGGCTGCTTTTGCACCGCCCGGAGCAGGACATCCACTCCTGCCCTGCTCCCCAAATCCTTTATCAGGGTGTTCATCCCCTTCCGCTGCAGACGGCCCCAGGGGTGCACTGGGCTGAGCAGTCAGCGGCAGGACAGGCTGCGCAAGGAGGGGGAGCAGCAGCCTCCTGGTGGAGCCCCGAGAGGAAACCCCTTCAGCCCCCCCACCCAGAGCATCCAGACCCAGCCACGCACACAGAAAGTCTCCAACCTTCTCCACGAAGTCACGTCCTGCCAGAACTCGTAAAGGATGAAGCAGGCCTCGTCCGTCAGCTTGCAGGCAGACACGCTGCGGGGACAGGAGCGACCCTGAGACGGGGCCTGGCAAGCTGGCACGGTGCGGCCACGTCGGTCCTGCCAGGACCGGGAACGAGCAGCACAGGTCTGCACACGAGCCTCACCACGAGGCTTCCAAAGAGCAGTTTGGATGCATCCACAATTTGTGGCTGCTGGGGCCGGCACATGGCTCCAGGGGATCCCGAACCCAAACCCTTCATGCTTCGCAGTTCCTGCAGCCAGGCAGCAGAGGAGCTTTACAGCTATTAAGCTGGTCCTTGCTGCTACCCAGAAACCAGCGTGTTAAGTGTTTTATTAAGTATTTCTTAGCGCGTCCCTAGCACTGCAGCACACAGCCTGACGAAGGAGCTCATCCTCCCAGTCCTTTGGAGTAGGCGTGTGTCATCCCTTGCCCCTCACACGGAGAGAAACTGAGGCACGAGTGCAAGGAGCTGAGATCACAGCATAAAACCACAGCGTGCTGCCCCCCGAAGTGATGCTGTTTCGCCAGGTGATGCTTCCCACGCTTCCTCCTGCCGGAGGAACAGGCTGGGGCTTTCTCCAGTCCGTGGGAAGATGGAGGGGGAAGCAACAGGGAGGCAAGAGAGCAAAGCTCAGGGTGCAGGGCCTGGGGAACCATCTGCACTCGGCTGCAGCATCATTAATTCCAGCTGACGGTGAACGTTTCTTCCAGCTGCTGCTAAGGGCTGCAGGAAGGGACCAAGCCCTGGGGGGGAGAGCAAAGCAAGTCCCCCGGCAGCTTGGAGGCTGCGTCCCCCTACGCTCTGCAATTCCCTGGCGTGAACCAGGACAGCAGAGTCTCCCTGGGCTTCGCTCCAGCTTTCCACTCACGTGGAGAGCCTGCCCATGCAACGCTACCCAGTTGTCTACACTAATAGTTCTCATGACAGAAAAGTCCATCAATTCCAAAGAAAAAAAATACCACTCTCTCTGCCACTTGTGTCAAAACAAGTATCTTCCTTTTGTTTGGACTGAAAATGCAATTTTGTGCTGTTGGAACTGAAGAGCTGAAAAATGACACTTTAAATGGGAACAGCACGAACATTTCCCGCTGAAAGCGGCTTGCAATCTCCCATGGGAGAAGGAAAGCGCCTCTCAAAGAGCAGCTGTGCAATCTCCAGGGACACGCTGGCAGCGGCGTGTCACTGAAGCCAGACCTGGGCTCCGTCCTCAGCTCTGTTTGGAGCTCCGGAGCAGTGCTGGGGGGCAGAGCCTTGGTCTCATGTGGGGGTTAGCTTCAGGTGTTCACGGCCGCCTCCCACCAGCGCTGCACGCACTTTACATAAGGCAATGCCGTGACATGAGCTCTCCCCTTGACTTTTTCTCCATTACTTTCAAGTCCTTCAGTGCTGGAGGAATGCACGCTTTCTCTTACATGTGCATGCCACAGCCATTTGTGCTAGCATAAAAAACAGCCTCGTCCTTGCCAGACGCTGACAAGTGGTTCTTGCTGGGGGAACCTGCCGCAGGAGATGGGACGGTACCACAGGCAGAGACACCGCTGCAGCTGTGACACTGTCGCATCCTCTCTGCGAGGTCAAACCTCCGCATGCCAAGCCCACCCATGCGCCGACTGGCACACAAAACACTCTGCAAAAAAACCCTTTTATCCCCCAAGGGTGATGTGTTAAAAGCCCTTGTTTCTGGGCGAGCCATGCCACGAACAGCCCCACCACCCGCCACACTTACTGCAGGCAGCTGCTCTGCCCGGCGGTGACCTCCGTGTAGGACCTGAACGCCTGGCGAAACTCCTCAATGCTGCTCGTCGCCACCGAGATCTGCCTCTTTGCCACCAGGATGTGCTGCGAAGGGACAGCGGACGAGCAGCATCAGGGACTAATCTGCCCCTCTTGCCCTCCCTGCTCCCACCCAGCTGCGGGACAAGGCAGTGCCGAGCAAGCACAGCACCACAGGGGAAGCCGCAAGAAGTGGCTGGCACCACAATGCTGGGGACAAAGCCAACATAAAGTGGCTTCTTCCTACCTGGGCAGGTTGCCTTTACAACGAGGACCGCACCAACAGGAGATGCTCCATCCCCCGGTAGCGGGGTCCTGCTTTGGGGCTGCTGCAGTTCCCTGTGTCCTTCCCCCAGCAGAAAGGGGCCTCGGGACCCCTCCACTGGGGCTCTGCATGGTCTGCAGGCGCTCGGAGCAAACCTGGGGGATTTGGGCACCCACAAGCAGAGTGTTGCCTTCCTCTGGGCTGGCCGTGGGCACTGCCCTGGGCTTTCATGGACCTGATGGAGTTGCATTTGCCCTGTGGATGGTCCCACGCCGAGCTCACAGCTCTGACTCCCATCCGCTACATGGCCGTGCAGCAGACCCCCCGCCAGACCAAAGCCAGCAGCTCACCCAGGTGACTCCAGTCTCGGGGCCCAGGGGCTGCGCGAGCACACGCGTGTGCGAGAGAGGGGATCTGTGCACACTACGGGGTTACCTGCAAACAACAAGCAGGGACTTACTGCATCTCTTCCTTTGCACATCGCTTCCTCCTTCAGCGGCTCCAGGCGCGGGCTCTGCATTTAACACCACAGGAAAAATCGTTACTGGGAGAACTTTGCAACAAGATAAAACGTGGCAGTAACCCACAGCCCAGCCCAGCTCAGCGTGACAGACGGGTACCGCTCTGGGGACGTTCCTTCAGGTACCCAGGGGAGAAAAGGGACGTGACCTGCACATCTGTGGGGCTCAGTAGGTCCAGACTGACTTGTCAGATCAGCACGGACCACGGAGAAGCCAGGGGAGGGTCAGCTGAGCTGAGGGGAGAAGGGGGACTTTGGAGACAGCAAGGGATGAGCAGCCTTGTGAGTCTGGATCTGGTGAATGGGTGCAGCTCTGGGATGATGCCAGGACCAAATACCAGGGCTGTTGGCACAGGGAGAGGTCCCAGCGCCAGCCCCAAGGTGCGGTGCAACCCCCAGCCTGCCTCCCCTCTGCCACGCACCTTGCACTCCAGCTTCTCGATGAGCTGCTGGAGCCTGTTGATCTGTGCCATCCACTGGCTGTTGTCTTCGACACAAACGCCTGCGTGGGGAAGGGCAGAGAGTCATCACCCAAAAAGCTTGCTTTTATCACAGCAAAAGCTTGCTTAAGACTCAGAAAACCACAAAAGCTTCAAGACCTCTGATTTAAACCACAAACTGATTTGGTTTTCTCCTGAAACTTTTCCCGCTACTCAAGAGATACAACATCCCACAGAAGGTCCAGCTGGCGTCTGGGTGCAATGGTCCAGGCTCTGTCCTGGACAAGCCCCCGCTGTCCCATGCTGCTGCTCCCACACCCACTCCAGGCTCCAGTGGGGCAGGGGCAGAGACAGCAACCCGAGGGACGGCCGGGCTGTGGATACCTGTCGTTAGCATCCCGGAATAGGGATCCGTCGGAGACAGACAGACGTTCTTCTGTCCTCTGCGCCCGCATCGTCTCCCTGACCTCAGGCCAACCGAGGTCTCAGACTTCTTTATGTCCTTTCTGAAAGAATAAAATGCAAAGGTGGGGCTGGAGTCGTTCACTATATGGGTCAGCTTCACAGGAGGCTTGGAAAGGGCAGATCCTGCTCCCAGATGTGCCCCCCAGGGGAACCCAGGAGTCCTGCCCCATGCCGTGACCCCCACGAGCGGTGGTGGGGAGAGGGGGAGGATGGGCATTTCCCACCCCATTACCTCTCCTGTCCTGCCTGCTCCTCCACGGTGTCCACGGCACACTCCAGTGAGGCCTGCAGGGACTGCAGCTGGTGCATGGTTTCCCGCAGCAGGAAGCGGGTCAGGAACTGCTCCATCTTCGAGGAGGTCTCATACCTCTATGGGAAAAGGGAGAGGATCTGTCGGATGCCCCCAGCTCTGCACGGGGGGGAGCAGAGCTGCATCTGGAAGGGGTTGGCCCTTAAATAAACCCAACGGGGTAGATTCCAACCATATTTTTAGGCATCGTAGGAAACGACAACACTGTAGGACAAAAGCATCCTCTGGCTGCACGCCTGTGAGGTCACAGCAGGGAATACATGGCGTGACCCCCCCACCCCGGCCCCAGCACCCACAGCCCCCGGCTGGCACAGTCCCTGGGAGACGTGGGGGACCACAGATGGACACCCCCAAGCCCTAAGGTAAAGGCCACTTGCAGAAATAGCCCCCAGCTCCGGGGAGGGCTCTGGGGCAGGCAGAGCATCCCTTGCTGCACCCAACGGTTCACACACTGCTCCGCTTGCACCAGTGCTCTTGGGACAAGGCTAGCGGGGCAGAGACTTTGGGGCAAGCGAAGGAGAGCCCGCAGCAACCCCCCGGGCACAGGCAGCCCCTTCCAGGGAGCACCCCACCACTGGCAGGATGGGGCAGTGGGCTGGTTTCGCGCCCTCTCTCCCCGGGAGGACAGCGCCGAGCCTCTCAGCTCCAACGGGAAGAGATCCCTGCTGAATTTCTAACGCACGCCTGCTCACAGCTCTTCCTGCTGACTTGCTCTTGTGCGAGGGCCGCCCCACATCCCAGCCCCACGTCACCCACAGAGCACGAGTGACAGCTGCCGGGAGGATGGCTGCGTCTGGCTGCAAGTCCCGGCCAATCTGCCCTACGGTGCCGGAGGGGTGTCCAGCAGGAACGCAGGGCTGTGTGCCCTTTCCCCACCACTCTCCTCCCTGGTCTGACATGCAATGTGCACACCACGGGTGTTAGTGCTGGGGGCATGTAGAGGCGGGTCTGGGGGGCATGCAGGAAGCGCTGGGGAGAATGAAGGGGTCACCGTGCATCCTGGCAAGAAGGCAAGCTGGCCCAGAGGGCACCCAAACAGTAGGTCAAGATGCACGCCACGCCCCAGGAGCAGGTCTGAGAAGCCTGGAGAGCTGGGGAAGTGCCTGGACACACACAGAGGCACCCCAAACTCCTTCCTTCCTTTGCCAGCTGTGACCACAGATCCTCTTGGGCAAAAATCTAGGTGCAATGAACAGCCGCAGCCCAGAGCATGGCTCCTTTCCACGTGCTATGGGTTCTGCTGGCAGCACCATTCCCTGCAGCCTGGTCCAATCACACTACTTTCCTGTCCAGTTTTCACTTGCTTCCTTAAAACCACCTGGAGTTTTGTCCTTGCACTGTTAGATGACCCAAGGGCCTGGGGCAAATCTCCAGCCCCCAGGGATGGAGACGAGGTACCCAAGGAAGGATGCTCAGCGAGGCAGGGAGCAAGGATACAGGAGGAAAGGCTGAGGCACAAACCCAGAGACAAACACTTCTAGGGCAGGCACAGTTGTCCTCCGCTGGGGCTGAGCTGCAGTCTCCCTTGCAGAGCAGGTACCTGGCCTGGTTTGCCCACACGAGACTTCTCTTGTTCCACTGCAGGGTGAGTCTCTTCCTCCCAGCCCAGCGTCCCTCAGGGGTGCCAGTCATGCCAAAGCCTGCAGTCATCATAGACAATGGCAGCAGCTTCACCCGGGCAGGCTTTGCAGGCCAGAAGAAGCCCAAGTTTGTGCTAAGGACTGTGTCGCTGCATCCCTGCAGCACAGGCACAACGTGGGAGACCCAGCGGCATCCCACTACTGCTGAAAGCATGGAGCGCTTCGCTGTAGCACCCAGGACTTACCCACTCAAGCACGGCATCATTGAGGACTGGGACGGCATGGAAAACCTGTGGGGCCACCTCTTCTTCTGTGGCCTGAAAGTCCTCCCAGAAGAACAGCCTGTGCTCGTGGCCGACTGCCCTTCTTGCCCCTCCACCAACAGGGAAAAGCTGGCGGAGGTGCTTTTCGAGAGCTTCGGGGTGCCAGCCCTGCACATCGCTAACACCGGGTTTCTCTCCCTCTGTGCCTACGGCAGAGTGACCGGTCTTGCCCTGGAGGTTGGGGCAGGAGTGTCCCATGTCACCTCTGTCTGCCTGGGCCAGACCTGGAGGGAGGCCACCTACCGCCTCGGGGTGGCTGGTGGCTTCCTCTCCAGCTACCTGCACAGCCTGCTGATGGAGAGCCCCAACGAGCCCTCAGTGCTGAAGGCCTTGAAGAAGACGACAGCGATTCAGCTGAAGAAGCAATGCTGTTATGTCTCCATGGACTACGAAGGAGACCTCCACAACCAAGGTTACCATCATCCAGCCAGATTTCAGGCCCCTGACGGGCACTGGATAACCCTGGACAAGGAACGGTTCTGCTGCCCGGAGCCGCTCTTCCAACCAAAGCTACTCCACCAAAGCTCCCCAGGGCTCCACCACTTGGCCTTGCAGAGCCTCCAGAAAGTACCCGACCATGCCAGGAGGGACACAGTAGGTAACATTGTGCTGTCAGGCGGCTCCTCGATGTTTCCTGGCTTTCCCGAGAGGATCTGCTTAGAGTTGAACGCCCTGTTCCACAGCACAGGCTGCCAGATTCAGGTCCTGGCAAGCCCAGAGAGGGGCACAGCAGCCTGGGCGGGGGGCTCGATGGCAGCATCGCTCACATCCTTCCAGCACGCGTGGATGTCAAAGGGCAAGTACCAGGAGCATGGTGCTGGGTACGTCCACAAGATATTCCAGTAGGCAGACGACGACCATGCATTCAAAGCATCCCACTGGCGGGGCATAGCTCCTGCTGCAGGAGGAGGGTCTCCGAAACACCGCCTTGCTCAGGGCAGAGCTGCGGCAGTGGTGGTGACCAAGGGCCAGCTCCTGCGCTGCTGTAGGAGTGTGAAGTCAATTCAAACACTCTGAAAGAAGTAAACTGCTTTTCATTTACGCTCCGGGTTATTTCTGTGCCTATCCGCCATCACTCTAATAAGCATGTGTCCGATCAGGCTGACAACACAACCGTGGCTTGTGCTGTGAATTCAGGACATGCCGACTGTGTGGGTATAGCCAGTCGACAGCCGAGCCCCAGCGCTCCAGGCTGGAGGCTGTGCACATCTAGAGCACTGCAGCAAAGCTGTCCTTTTTGAACGCACTGCCTGCAGCTGCCGGAATGGGGAAGGGAGCTGCTCCAGCAGGCAGGAAAGCTCCTTCCAGCAGTCAGTGCAGCAGGACCCCCGAGGTCCACGGGGAGCCACAGGGGTGGGAGGAACAAACTGAGGAGGAGAAGGTCCACACAGCGCCTGCACTGCAGCAACTTTACTATGGGAGGTGATTTCTGATCTTGGCACTGAAGCGGCTCAGCACTGGGTACGGAGGATGAGCTGGTGAAAACCAGGGAACTGAATTCGCTCTTTGTAATTTTGGTATAAAGGTCATTTGGTGCTTCAGGGAGCCGATTCAGCTCACTGAACAGGCAGAAAAGCACTCACCTGGCTTTGCTGCTGCTTTAGTGAACTGACTCGGCTTAGCAGACGATTAGAAAAGGATCAGAGGTTGCATGGGAGAAGCAACTGGGAAGCACTGCCCAGCTGTCATAGCAGACTCCTTTCCCCATGGCCAGCCCCCGTGCCCAGCTCCTCAAGGGACACAGAAACCACGGGACATCACCGTGAGCATTAAGAGAGACTGGACTGGCAGTGGGAGGTCAAGGAAGGAGTCTCCACATAACGCAGGTGGGCTGGTTGCTCCACAGGAGCATCCACCAGGAGAGGTCAAGCCCTTTCCTTGACAAGATGAGGAGACAGACTGGACCAGAGTCACCTCTGCCTTCCCCGTGGTGTCCTCATGCGCCCCCAAGGCTGCAGCACAGACCAGGAGCCAGGCTGCCTTCACCCCCCCCGAGCACCGTGAACTCCCTCTTTCATGTCCAAAATAGAGTCCAGCAATGCTACCACATTACTCAGGTCAAATATCTCCAATTCCTACTGTGTTTCTCTCCAACACACAGGAGAACTGAGGATCCTGAATTCCAGAAGCTCTGCACAAAAGCATGGGGACATAACCCTTCTGATGCTGGTGTCAAAAAATCTGTTGAGGAGGGGGGGCAGCGGGGAGGGTCCTGAGCCCCACATGGTTTTCTGGTTCATCTGCGCCACAGCCGAGCCACCAGCCCCATCCCAGAGCTGCGTCCGCCTGGGGCTGCTGGCACACCTGCAGCTGGCTAGGAGGGGGAGGTAAGTGGAGAGGATGCTCATCTACCGAGCACTGCCCTGGGCTTGTGCTGGAGTGGGCAAAGGACGGCCACAGCCACTCCCCACACCCCCCACCAGCTTGGGCGAGCAGAGCCCTCCGCCCAGCGGCTGTGCTGCCAGTGGGTTTTCATCCATGCTTGAAAATGAACCTCATTTCTCTGCCAGAGGAAGAGGATGGCAGCAAAGCCGATCCGATGTGGCCACGGGAAGCTGAGCTCCAGCTCTGCATCTCCGGGCTTTCCCCAGCCAAGCATCCCACCTGCTCCCACAAGCCTTCCCTCCCCACGGCCCCAGAGGATGGAGAGCATGGGGCTGGGGACCCCAGGCAGGGACCCTGCCGCCCCCCCTGCCCACTCCTTCACCCCCTCACTCCCAAGGGGTGCAGGCACCGAAATCCCCACCAGCGCCGCTCCTCTGTGCTTGCTCAGCTCCCACCAGCCCAGACACGCATCCCCTGCTTACAGGGGAATGACCGACACCCAAACCTCCCCATGACAAGCCTGAGAAAGACAGGTGAAGAATACTAATTGCCTGAGTCCCCACCGGGGCGCAGCGGAAGGGATACGTTATTCACCCACCGCATGGCCGGGCACAGTCTGTTTCATTTCGGGAGTTGGTCCAAATCCAAACGCTGTCACCCCTCTTTCTGCACAGAGGGCACTTCCCACAGCAAGCAGCCTCCGCAGCCGCGTGGACCCGCTTAATGAGGTGCACTCCCATCTCCGATGCATCCTCCCCAGCCCCCCGCCAGGGCCGGCTGTGGCCCCCACAGCCTTGGCATATGGACGCTTCCCCTTGCACGGGGGCCGGATGCTTCTCCCCAGCCACATCACTCCCCTTCAAAGGGCCAGGTGCTGGGAGAAGCCCCGGCGTCAAGCCAGCCTCCCAGCACTCCCCATCCTCTCAACTTTCATCCTGAGGATGGCCTAATCCTGATGTCCTCTGTGGATGATGTCGGTGGTTGGAGTTTTATCGCAGGAGCAGGCAGCTGCTCCCACCGACACCATGTCAGGGCTGGGGGGGGCACGTTCAGCCTGCCCTGAGCCCCACAGCTCGCCCCAGTGCAGTCCTTGCACCCCAAACACGCAGGCACAGGCACCAACCTGGGGTGCCACGCCTCAAAACCCAACTACCAGCCCGAGGCACGCCGTGCTCGGAGGGGACTCGGCTCTGAAGCTCACTGTGCAGAGGGGTCCCCACCCTCCTGGTCCCAGCACGCCCCAGCCCACCTTGCAAGGGCAAAGCAGGATCCCATGCGGACACGTCAGTATTTCGTGTGAGCATTGCACATGACGAGCCAGCTGCCTCCCGTCTCTCGCCTCGTCAAACACAGCACACCCAGGGGAATGCGCCGGAGAGAAGGATGGAAATAACCATCTCTCAAGAGAGCCCCGAATGCTGTTTCACCCTTCTGCATTGACTTGGAAAAATGCCAGGGGAGGGAATCAATTGAAAATACACCTTCTCTTTGGTTCAGCTGCCCGGCCCGCCTCACACTCCTCACTTGGGGGCAAACAAGCGAAACCCTCTTGTCAGGTGTTGCACCACGCAGTTCAACCCCTCTGTAAATAGAGGCTCAATAAAAACGTGCTCTGTCTTCACTGAGCACATCATTTTCTGCTCATAGCAAAGACTCATGGAAAGGAGTCACGGAGGAAGTAACTCAGCAAGCATGAGACAAGGCTTTTGGGTCGTGGACTAGTATTTCAGCTCCCTTGACCCAGATGAAAATCCCAAAGTTGCCAAGAACTGCTGTAATTCTGCTTTTGAGAGGTTTTATTAGTTTCTTATGATGATAGTTAAGCTCGGGACAGAGTGGAACAGGTGATTGCATAATTCCTGCCAAAGGAGAGAGGAAATAACTCAGCAAGCATGAGACAAGGCTTTTGGGTCGTGGACTAGTATTTCAGCTCCCTTGACCCAGATGAAAATCCCAAAGTTGCCAAGAACTGCTGTAATTCTGCTTTTGAGAGGTTTTATTAGTTTCTTATGATGATAGTTAAGCTCGGGACAGAGTGGAACAGGTGATTGCATAATTCCTGCCAAAGGAGAAATAAGAGCGCCTGACTTGGAGAGGTATTTATAGATTAGTTTGCAGTGTTTGCAAAATGGAGAATGGAAAGATTTCAGCATACAGGTCCCCTGTGAGAAATATCAGACCGTTTCCCAAGGTGTTTCCACAGTTCACTTCTTACTCTGACGCTATTATATTGCAAATGCAAAGTTTAGCCACGGGATAAGCTGTATTTAGTATACTGCAGCATAGCTATCACCAGTTATATTTTACAAATATAAGTGGGAATGACGGAATTTGGAGAAAAACCCTCTTTTCTTGAAAAGGCATCTTTTCTTCACCATGTTTCTACCAACCCAGTGAGGAAGGATGGGAACGTAGGAACCCCTAATGATTTGGTTTCGTCCTGCCAACCTGTGGATCCATAACAAAGACCACGAGCAGGTTTGCTGCCCACACATACACTATTTCCTACAGTAATTACAGTCACTTACACAGCGAGAAGGACAAACCCGGCTTGCGTTTCCCATGCTTTATCGCAGTGTTTATCCTGCAGTCGACAACGTGCGGCAGGCAGCAGATCGAGGAGCCTGCCAGCAAGGAGACAGCCACTGAGACATGCCATTGATCCAGTCCGGGCACCCTGGCCCGCAACGACCGTGACAGCACACGCGGAGGTGGGAATCCTCGATACCAAAAAGGCTTTTGGCGGCACTGCTTCAAATCACAGCTCCCAAACACAGAGCCGCGGCATATTCCCTCCGAGCTTTGGTTTCCTCATTTCCCTCTCTCTCCTCCCTGCAGCTCATCGCCCTGGCATGGTCTGAGCAAGCCTAGCACATCTCCCTGGCTCTGCTTTTGTTGTGCTAACAAAGCAGCCCGTGCTCTCTGTCTGTTTTCCTACTTGTAAAGTGGGCTCGTATTTTCATGAGCCTTTTTACAGCTGTGGGGTAAGTACCTGGAGGATGCAGGGGTGAGCAATCCTGTGGCAGCAGAAGTAAGGAACTACTGGAGATGGACCATGCCCTAACTAAGACAACTGGTGAGACCCAGCTCAAGTCAGAGATCCCCTTCTTCTTTTTCTAGCTGGTCCGGGTATCACTGCCTCCTCGGCAGTCACGTGAAGCTCTCTTAAATATAGCCTGGGGAAAAATGGGCAGGGACTTAAGATCCCCCAACATCTGTTGACCCCACAGCCCTGTTCTGGAAGCACAGCTTTACGGTGAGGGCCGTTGGAGCAGGCAGGTCTCTTCCAGTTTGCTCAGCAGACAGCACAGCTGCATCTCCAGCAAAAGCAGCTCCCCAGGATGAAGTTTCATTTGGCTCTTCCAGGAGGGTGGTCTCTGCCAAACTGGGGCTCTCTGTCCTCAGCCAAGGTGGCATTAGAGGTGTTTGAATCAACAGAAATGAGGGGCAGATGTGTAATATGGAAAATCTCTGTTCTCTGCCCCCTCCCCTGGCTCAGAGAGGTGTGAGCTTTGCCTAAAATCCAACCTAATAAACCTACTAATCCTGTAATAACCCAAAATCGATTCCCATTCTGGCAATACAAACACGGGAATATATTCAGGTCACAGCAGGTGAGAACCCAGTATTTACCATCCCTGCAAGCCTCTAGCAGCAGCAGATTTCCCACAACTCTGCAAGAGCCCTGACCACAGGGTTGGAGCATTGCCCTCTCCTGCCTTCTCCCCAGCGCAGCGCCCAGCAGACCAGGGAAGCACAGGGAGATGCTTCCCGGGAGGGTCAGTATCTGCATCGGGGCACCCAGGAGCTCAGTGCTGGGATCAGAGCACCCGGATCAGCGCAGACCTTGCCCGGGTGATGGCAGTGCTGTGAACATCGGGGTGCCCTGGCCCCCTGGCTCCGGGCAGATCCAAACACAAGTGGAAAAGTGAGTCCATAAAAATCTGTTTCAACAGGGAAAACCTGCTTCTCTTTTCCAGGGAACACCTGTGGCACCAGAAACTATTAAGTGAATGAACACATCGTACCAACACCGTGAAGCAGACAGTAATTGCGCTGTCCTTTGGAGAAATACATGAATATACAAATTCATTACCAAAAAAAACCAAAACAGAAAAGAACTGAAATAAAGCATTGCTCTCTGAGGAGGATTCATTACCTCCCTCTGGACTTGCATTTAATAACTGTGAAGGGGGCCAAGCAGCTGAACCAAAGAGAAAATGCATTTTCAAGTGATTCCCTCTCCCAGTGCGTTTTCAAGTGATTCCCTCTCCTGGCATGAAATTTCCCAATGTACAGGGAGACACTGCTGAGGCTGGATCTGGCCAGAGGGAAACTCAAAGAGAGAGCAAGATCATGACTGACACTACAGAGGCACAAACACCACTTTGATGACTGCAAAGCTGACAGCAGGACCGGTCCCCCTTTGCTTCTCTGCCTGGCCGGTAGGTCAGTGGACAGTGTGCACGTGGATGATGCCCTTCATCTGCTTCTTACCGAGCTTCGAACCGCCACATCAAAGGGAAAGAAAGGGCCAGCCCTTCCCGTGGCTGTAAAACAGCATCAGCCCCAAGCACACGGCTAAACCATTTAATACATTTTGGATGCAAAAGGGGGCTGCTAGTCCCCGAAGAGGGTGCCTTCCAGTACTGGCCACTGCTTTTTCATGGCTGTATTTAGGCCGTGACGCTGCGCACTGCAGACCGCTGCCCTCCAACGCAGAGGCAGGGGAGCTCACAAAGCAGGAGGCTGCTTGCCCTAATTAGCAGCCTCCGATCTGCCTCCCATCGGTACAAGCTGCAGGGAGAGGGAGAGAATTCACCGCAGGGATGAACTCGGCACAAGGCTAGGAGTCAATGAACTTCACCCTTTCCTACCTTCTCCCAAGCGCCTCGCCGTTTCCCAAAGCAGCCTTCCCACCACAGCAACTCCTGCCAATTTTTGTCGCTGTGAGCACAGGCTGTGCTGAGCACAAGCTGCTGGGGTCAGTCCAGAGCAGGCTTGACCCCAGAGTCCCCATTTCGCACCACACTGCTTTGTGGAAAAGACCTTGCTTTGGCTCAGAGATGCAATACATAGGTTATCAGCAATGCTCCCAGAAACAGTGTCCCCAGGCAGGACCCTGCAAGTGGTCTGCAAGGAGCTGTTGAAACAACTGCTGCCAGAGCCCTATGAGGAAGGAGAGCCCGAAGACATCTCCAGAGCACAAGGGCACTAGCCCTACCCTTCTCCCCCTCCTGCTCGGCTCCCCCTCCTCCAGGCATGCTGCAGGCTGTGCTGCTGTGGCACTCACTGCACATGGAGACAACCGAAGCACACACAGGCAACCCCGCTGATCTGGGAGGTACCACATTTGCTACCTCTGACACCTAAATTTAATGCTAAGCAAGCAGCTAAGATCACGATGGCTTCTGTTATGCACCCGCCTGCCCCGCCACCCACCCGTGGTTCCATCCTTACCAGCTTGGTTTTGTCCATGGCTGCCAGGACCGCAGAGTTGAGGGCTTCCAGGGCGGAAAGCACATTCCTATATTCTCCAAGATATGCCGAGAAATAATCTGAAGCAGAAGAGAAGACCACGGTGAGCTTCCCGAGTGCTTCCACCCCTGCCTCCCTGCACCTGCTGCTTCCCACACACAGCCCAGTGCTGCAGGGGGGCATTCGTGTCCCTCTCCAGAGTCACGCTCCCACCCGGACTGAAATGAAAAGTCCTTTCATATCCCCAGGGACAAAATGTCCCATCCCCTTAGGAAAACCACAGATGCCCTCTCTGCTGGGATTCAGGCACAGGGGCTGTCAGTGCCACTTGACCGCCCAGCCCTGCCCAGGTCAGACATGTACAAAGCCCCACCACAGACCCTCGAGAGAGAAAGCCCTCTGAGGCAGGAATACTTACCACACAATTTCTCCGTGTCCACATTGCTACAAGAAACAGACAAACAAGCTCTTGTTAGATGGTGGGGCTGGTTCAGGAGAAACAGTTGTGAGCAAGGCGTTGAGGGCTTGTCTTGAGCCCCCAGTGGATTTTCTGCTCATCCCATTATTTTCAAAAGCTGTATTAGAAAAATAAAAAGCTGCACAAGTTTAGAGCCAGCAGCTCAGAAGCCATGCCCAGCACCTGCAGCACCCAGGCAGGGCTGCAGAGCATCACCTCTGCTTCAGGGGCTGAAGGAGCAAGCAAACCTGCTCCACCAACATCTCCCAGAGCTGGAGTGTGCTGGGAAAGTGTCTGTGAGAACAGAATGGGGCTGGGAGGGAGGTGAGGGGAGGCAGGCAGCGCCCCATGGCCCTAGGCTGGCCAGCTGGGTTGGCAGCCCCATTTCTGAGCCCTGGAGCTGACGAGCCCCAGAAGCTGCTTCTTCAACCCAGCCTCTTCCCCCAAAGGCGCGAAGCATTCAGCCAGGGCTCCTTCCTCGTGTCTCCCTTGACCTCAGCCCAGGTCCTCCCTCGTGGCTGCCCCATGGCACCAGGCACCTTCCTCTCCCATCTGCCCCACGGGTGCCCCTGGCTGCTCCTCCTCTTCCCTGCCTTCAGAGCCTGGGTGATGTGGGGCTGCCCTCAGGCTCCCAGGGCAGGGGGCTGGATGGCTTCAGGGCCCACGAGAGGGGTTGTTCCTGCCGCGAAGGCCATT